AAGCATTATCCTACAGATATCCGTAGAAGAAAAATATAAAAATTAATTAATATTAAAAATTTATCTTTCGGAGTTAAAGATATATATCTTTTCTTAATTATTGGGAGATTTAAAGTCAATCTCTTGCAAAAAAAAAAAAGAGCTGGTTCCTACCTCGTCCTCATTATTCCTGAATTATCATAATTAAATTTGCAATTCACCTAGATTGATAAATATGTAATTATATGATTAAACTGCTGAGTGCAATTAATTAATTAATTATAATTGCGAACCGACGACTTGTGCGTTTGTGCAAAACGGTCAAGCGCAAAGTACTTCTCGGCCGTGGTCTTCCGGCTGGCCATCCTTCTCTACAATCCATCCATCCGGGGAACATCGTTAGATCACACACGAGCCTGTTCAAATACCATTACTCGGTTTGATGCGGAATCAAACGCGAATATCGCAAAATCGCGCAAACATTTCGTGAATCAGCCTCTACCATCGCGTACGCGCCATCACCGCCGGCAGCGTAACCACCTTCTGCGGTATTCTCTTAATTTCCCCCGTGAAATCGCTGTCAAGTTGAACGGATTAATTCCTCTCTATTTGCCGCGGCTATTCGTCCCCCCGCTCCTCCTCTCGCGTAATCTTGTCGAGATTGTAACGAACGGTATTGATTTAATGGCCGAATTATGCTTCGATTAAACTGTCGCTCAAATATCTTTGCTTGTGTACATAGAATCTTAACGTAAGCTTTTGCTAATTAACGCTGTCAACTTGCACTTTTTTTTTTAAACTCACGATACATTGAGAATAATGTTCCGATCATTTGAATCGCTGACGAAAATGTGCTATTCTTCCTGAATAATAATATCGATAAAAAATTAATTAAAAATAAAGAATATTCGTCAATATTTCAATTGTAAGGTTTGAACCGTCTTGTTATTCTCGCGACTACGTCTTATATTTCTCAAGGTTCAACGATCTTTAACTTATCTCACTTTGCTATCTGGCAGCTTTATTCGTCGACTGACGACTGACTGATTGTGAGTCACGCATTTTTGGCACGTGATCGTGTGCGTTTATCAAACTCTGAAATTACCAAGTTCGAGAAGCGGCACGGTGGCTGCTGACCAAGGGCAGGAAATTCCCGACTCGAGCCGCGGTCGAAGCGGGTGGCAGCGGGTGAAGTGGTCAGAGGGCCGGGCAGGCGAAGGGGTGGTGAAAATTTCAGCCCAGCGGTGGCCCGAATTAAGCGTCTAATTGTAAAGGCGACATGTGCGAGGAAACCGGGACGGCGGCGGCGCGGGATGGCGGCGCGGGTGGCGGCGAGGGGGCGGTGAGGGGCTGGCGCGGCGGGCGCGATAGGGGCGCATAGATCGGCCGGAGGTGAGAAGGTGGCGGGGGTGAAGGTAGCAATTAACTTCTCCTCGCGAGATTAGAGCGAGATATTACGAGATATCGAGCGACTTAACGGCAACACGCGAGAGACTTCAAAGGCAGTAATAAACTGCCTCTAATGAACCCCTTATCGCCGGTGCCACCCCTTCGACCCCCTCCCCCCCGCTCTTGCCCTCTTCTTCGTTTCCCTCAGCACCTCCGGCGACCTACCGTCTACGTACGTGCCTCCCTCGACGCGATGCGGGCTGAATCGAGCGCGGAAAATACACCGTGTTCTCCTTCGCGCCAACTCAATTGACAGTCTCTTTTTCTGTTATATCGCCGTTACTATTATAACTGCTATTATTAGTTTCGTCTAATATTATCTCGCTATTGTTACCGCAGATAAAATATATGTTTTATCATTATTCCGCGCACTCGTCATTTTCTTTCTTCAATTTTAAACCGTGCTTATTTCTTTTGGAATCTGCAGAATCTAATATATGTAAAATATATTAATCCGCAATGTGATAACATTAATAATTCGCAATTATCCATTATTCCCTTATGATGTCGACACAGTTTCGAGCCCCGGATAAATTGACAATCGGATCCGAACCACAGGTGGAGATTATCGGCAGCATTATTAACAAAACGCTCGTCCGTTTCCGGCAAGATTTGCGAAGAGTTCGGAGGCAATCTGTGCCCGTCTCCGTCCCGTTTTCGACAGTCCTCTCGTCCTCGGCTCTCGTCGGCTCGTCGCCCGTCGCTCGTTGTGGCACAGCGCGGCATGGCGCGTCGCCGGGCTCCGTCAAGCCCAATCATGTTGATTCAACAAAGTACCTACCTACCAAATTGCTGGAATTTGGTATTCGGCCAGAAAGATGGAGGGAGAAGGAGCCAGCGGAGCAAGCTAGAGGGCTGGAAGCCGTCTGATTGCACATCTAGGACAAACCAGCATCACGACGACGTCGCTCCAGCGGAAAGCCGAGCGATGATTGGCCGCGCTCTCTCTTCCTCTCTCTATCATTCCCCTTTTCCTCGATCCCTTCAGCCCCTTGTTCGTACGCCCGAAACCCGATGGCGTCGGGGGCTGGGGGTGATTGGACGCATCTCGGTGATTGTGGCACCCACCAGCCCGCCCCCTCTGCAGTCCCCCCCTCCCCTGCTCCATCTCGCTCTCTCTCACTCTCTCTCTCTCGCTCTCCCTCCTTCCGTTCCGTCCTGGTCCACCGCGCCATCCCTCCTACACGGCTGTAAATCGAGTTTACCCTCTTGCCGTGGCTCAGCCCTTCAATCAAACTGATTGAAACATTCCTTGAATCCAAAAGAAACGAACCGCCATCCCTTCTCTCTCGCCTCTCCAGCCTCCCCGCTATCTTTCCGAGAGTCGCACCGCGCGCGCTATCCTCTCCATCCATCTGTCTATCCACTCGGTTCGCGCGGATATATCCGTCGTTCTCTTTTCGACGAAGCGGTTACTACCTCTCGCGCAGGAGACACCGATGGTGTTTCGAGACAACTGGTTGGTTTCAATTCCGACAGTAGTTTGATTGTAAAGCTGTGCGGGGTATAAAGCGCTTAGCGTGATATGATGCACTGAATGTTCAGCAAGAGCGTGCCGTTGTTGTCTTAAGTAGAAGATCATAAGCGAGTCTGCTGCATATATATATATATATG